TATATATATATATATATAATATATATAGTATATATATATATATATATATATATATATATACTATATATAGTGTATATATATATATATATACATACACACACACACACACATACATATATATATGTATATATAAATATATGTGCATATATAAATATATATATACATATATTTACATATAAAATTACACAAATGTATGTGTATGAACACACATGTAAATATTTATGTATAGATAGATACATACATATATAAATATTTATTATTATTAATATTTTATATGCATATATATACATAATTATATATATATACATACACACACATATACATATGAATATATATATATTCATATAAAGTTACACACATGTACGTGTATAAACACGTATATATATGTATAGCCAGATACATTTTATACAGATATACATGTACATATATAACTCCAACGTCATTCACGTTTTGCATTCAGTTGCTAAGAATCGAGTTGGCAACATGTGTGTTGAATTGCATCGAATTTTATTAATGACCGATTTACAGTTTACCCAATAGAAAATATTTGTTTTATTTTCGTCACTAACTTTGTGCACTTGGACGAAAAGAATTGAAGAGTGGATATATCCATCATGCTTGAATGCCTTTTTAGAAAATCTACTACTATGCAGATATATATGCGCTTGTAGGTTGGTAAACTCTGTTAACAATGCTGCTCTAGTAGCAGTATTTACCGACAAGCTGCAATTTATTCTGACTACGGAACCTGCCGGTTAATTTGAACAAAAAGGTACAAAATCTTGGGTAGTATATCGGCTTCCACCGTGCCGCACTATTTCCACCACCTTTGTAGCAGTGTACTAATCGCAAACGACGATTGAGATACTAATCTCCCAAGTGATACACTGAAGTCTTCCGTTGAGATGTGAATGAAAACTACATTCTGACAGTTTTCGATTAAATCCAGTAAGATGGAACACGGCCACACCCGAGTTGTTCTCAAGCGCCCATCAACTTCCACAAACAGTCAGCACACGGACCTCAACACTATCCAAAACAATGCACTGTAATGATCATCAACTTACACTACGCCAGTCAGGAATACGACTCGACGTACCATATAGCCGAATCAACACACTTCTATCCAAAATCCAGAAGAGTGCGTGCGGCAGTTGCCAACAGGATTAAAAATCGACAAAACAAACGGTCCAACGCAATAAAATTATTGATAGATTACGAGAAATTTCAGTATACAAATAACGAAGAAACAGGACTACCAATAGCAGTAGAAAAATTATTGATTACATGTATAGTACCCGCGAGTATCAAAGATGTATTTAACAATCGCAAGAAAAATAATAATATTCGAGACCATACATACAGCGGTACGCAGCACTTTATACTTGACCCGAAATTTACTCGTTCTTGTTGTTAGTGGAACCGCGGATTCTACCGGTACGTCTGGCAGCGATAAGACCGACCTTAGCTCCAGCAGGTGCATCACGACGCACAGTCGACGGGAAACCAATATGCTGGTGATTACCACCACCGTGGGGATGCTCGACGGGATTCATAGCAACACCACGCACGCGAGGCCACGAGTTACGCTTGACCTTGTATTTGTGGTACGACGCACCAGCTCGAAGCATAGGCTTGTCAATACGACCTCCACCGGCAACGATACCTACGGTGGCACGGCACTTGGAGGGGACGATCTTCTTGGATCCGGAAGGAAGACGCAGACGAGTCTTGCCAGAGTCCTTGTTGTGAGAGACAACTGTGCAGTAGTTACCTGATGCACGCGCCATGCTTCCACGGTCACCGGCCTTCTCCTCTACATTGCAGATGATGGTACCTTCGGGCATCTGGCCAACGGGAAGTACGTTTCCGATGGCAAGAGAAGCTGTATTTGCAGTATATAACCATACAATCAATATATATTTGCACAAGAATTCTGACTATATATGTACTCCTAGCGAAGACTTGGGACACAAAATAAAGCTTATTTGACTAACGCTAATATTCCCGTGTATCAATTTACAATAGCGGACTGAAGTATGTTTATGCACAAACTGAATCTGTATAATGTACTGCACTTATTCAGTATCAGAAATACTCAACATCAATACGTTAAGGCAGTCTTTCAAGCTTGACACTAAACCTCAGATTCCACGGCGACGTGTATTAAGCGTATAATAATGTCCAGCAAATACAAAGCATATACTTCAATGTATCTGACGCCTTCCTGTCATATCAATCTAGATATGAACCCAAAAAAACCAACGACTCCCAGCTGATGAAAAACAAAGTATACATATATATGTCAACCCAAACATATACTTAACCCACAGCATACGTTACCAAAATAAAAACTCTAGTACTAGCTTGATGATATTACTAACTAACCTTTCTTTCCGCAGAAGATGAACTGTCCAGTGTGGACTCCCTCAGGGGCGATGAAAAGCTCCTTCTTGATTCGGTAGCGGTATGGGTCACGGAAGTGAACCTTGGCTAGGGGAGCTCCACGTCCAGGATCGTGAATGATCTCCTTGATGATACCCTAAACCAAACGTACGAATATTGTGAATCCAATTAGTATACTATTATACAGTAATAAAAGTGGGTATATCATACGTAGAGCATCATACACAACCCCCATCTAAGTTCAAGTGACCTTAGCAGATACGCAAAGAATTCACTTGATATCAACAGGCAGTCCATTGATTGCGAGGATACGCGGAAGAAAGTATCCTACAGTATATCCGATTATTGGCCAACTTAGATATTTAGCACTGGATGAACAAAGAATACAGAAAAGGTGCATGTGCTTGTTACGAGACCACATCCGCGCACCATTCTTTGCTATAAAACTAGAACAATGAAGCGCGTGTATTTAACAATCAACTGTCCAAATCATATACAACTAGGTGGGCACGTGCAACATACATACAATAGCGACTTTTTAGAAGAGCAGATCACATCAAGTATACCACTATCACACATCTATGATCACATCGTGTGTATAATACACTACATACCTTCACGTAACCGTGACGCTCGGCATAGTCGATGTGTCTAATACCAGCCGATCCCTTACGATGCTTGGTGTGGGACTTGAAAACAGACCCCGCACCCTTACGCTGACCACGAATAACACGTCCCATTCTATATGAAAAATAGTATAGGACGAAAAAGATAAAGTGTTTAGCGATTGGGGTATTTGGTTTTCGGATGAAGATGGGATTGCAGACCACTGGTTTGTACGTATTGGACGTATTTTTTGGTTGTTGCGAAACTGTATCCTCTTCTTCTTTCGACTCCGGTTTGTTCTTTGCGGATATTTACGAACATTCTACCTTACAAGATCATATGCATATCTGCATTCGGATTTAAATAATCATCGCAAGTGTTGTGCATGTTCTGATGCCTTGCCAATGATTAATTCTTGCCACTTGAGTATACTGTATCCGGTAAGGACATAGGCTCCAACGCGTTGCCGCACTATCTCTGGCATTATAGCATATCTCTTTAAGAGTGTTTACGTATGTATCGCATGTAATAGCGGGCTTGATTCAACTAACCTGATAGAATTGGTATGCTAAAAAAAGGAAGTATGGTGGCACCTGCAACTTAGTTTTACTGAATGCCAACACCGCACCTTGCAGGTGGATCAAATATTGGGGTGGGATCAAATGGTGCACACGAGTCCCATTGTGGACCACTCAAGCGATAGTGGACAAATAGTTAGGTATCAAATCATTTCTTTTCAGAAAAAATGGCGGTCCAATCGTACAAGATTTTTTATATTTGATAAATGTATGATTATTTATATGACACATCTCTATAAGTATATCTATATATACAGACATCTAAATAGTTACAAAATATATAAATATCTCGCGGAGTTCAGAGAGAATCGCATAATAACGACGTACATCACCATCAATCATATCATGCTTGATCTCATACATAATATAGTTTTACACAGAGTTCGTTATCATACCTGTTGTTTCTAATAGCTGTCTACCACGTATAAACATGTTTTCTATCAGTACACGAGGTTTATAGTTTGCAAATCCACGACACATAGCTCTCCGAAGTAGGATTGCCGTATTCCTTGTTCACCAGTGGGTCGGGCTTGTATACGAGGTCACTACACTGGCCCCGTACATTACATTACCTGATATAATATAAAACCAAATACCTATGTGTACGCACATAGGTCAAAAAGTCACACTGTTAGTTTCTATAGCCTTCTAATCAAACGTAGTTTACCTATATTCCGATGGGTGGAACTGGTGCCTATACACTGTCCGATGTTGACCGTGCAAACTTCAAGGCGCAAGGATTTGTGGTGCTTTCCAATGTAGTTGAGCCAGAAGCACTGAGAAATGAAGCCAACACACGAATTGCTTTGGAAAAGGTCCTTTCACCTGCCCTACGTAGTGATCACAGTTGCATATATGAGGTATATCATACATATATGAGGTAAATCATACTCATATATCTATGGGAATATTATACTTGTATATATATGACATATCAATCCATTTATGATTTATATGATAATGGTATATATGGGGTATATCATACTCGCACATACATATGAGGTATTTCATATTCAACAGTCTTCACATCGACGTAATCGTGTAAGCCTCAATCGGGCGTATCTAATAAAAGCACTGGACCATCTGAACTGTTTTTTTTGCTACGGTGACCTGTGTATTATTTTGTTTGAATGGTCTCGCATTCGTGGTGAATATTGCATATCGTTTGACACGTACTAGCCTGTGCTAGTGTTTGGAAGCGCCCATTGCTTGTTGCACAATTTCTCTCTGATATCTTCATGTGCACTGTACTATCTTTTTAGCAACCGCCAGCAGACTCTACCTGTTGAATATCATCAACCATTGGGCATGAGTTGTCAAAGTGTATAGCTCGGTGGTTAAGATACCTTTATAGGGACATGTTCTAATAATTTTTGTCAATATACAGACAAACATAAACATGCAGTCGAATGTGTGTGTACTATATACATTTATATGCACACATTTATGACGCCTAGTGCGAAAGGCTCGCCAAAAAGTTTTTGCTGAGTGCTGTCACAACTAAAAGTTGTACCCGTAATCTGTATTCACACATCTAACTACTCACTTAATTTTACAGGTCTGTCCGTCTACATTGCTGTCGGAGACAGAATGCACCGACCTCCTCGCCTATCTGAATGCACGCAGAGCATTTGGGTTGTCTAATGCAAAGGTTTTGTAATCAAATCTATACATCTATTTCGGTTACGTGGCCTTTCCAAGATATGTGCTTATATCGTATTCACTTGCTTTGTCTTTGTGGATACGTATTGCGGTCGGGGCTTTGGTAATTTGTATTCGTTCAGAACTTTAACTATGATCAATCAATCTATCATATATGTCTTATTCTAATTATCTAGGATAGCGCTGTATTAAGCTGTCCCCGCAAGTAACTATAATTTCGGGTATAAAAGTATTGCCATTGTTTTGTAGTCGAGCACTTATATCTGTTCGATTAATCTACATTGCCGCTGAGACTGGACAAATCTTGCTGAAATAGGTTATCCTCTATGTTTGCAAAGTTCTTTCTGGATTGGTAAAAGATTTGCTAGATGATGGATCAGAGGAAGACACGTCAATCCTCAAACTACTCAATGAGCAATATATAAGTAAGTAAATTTTCCGAATGAACAGTTTTAAATGCATATAATATTTTATTGTATTCTATGAACTAATCATGTAAGCCATTCGATAGTATAGAGATGCGCATAATGAACTGAAACGAGGAGGTGCAGGGAATTAGAGTACGTTATGTCCATATATCAGAACCTTTCAATACCTTGATTACAGCGTAAGCACACGATCTAGACGGCGGAGCAACATTTTAGCGAACTGACGTCTTCAATATGTGGTGACTGATCCCGTCCTCGATATTGTTTGCTGTTGGTTATAAATAGTAAAAAGAGCAAACGGCGGACGGCCTACTTCATTCGATTGGCATCAAGACTCATCGGAGATGCCTAGAGATCACCAGGTAACCAGTACAGCTCGCTTACGTGTGATAGTCACAGTGATGATCTCTACTCATACAACGCTGACTATGTTCAAAACACTTTGTTTTTCAAACAAATTCGTCTCAGGAATATGTTTCGGTCTGGGTTGCGCTTGATGATTGTGGAGAAGACAATGGCACGCTATATGTTCGTGATCAACAAATACATGGAAAGAGTACCGCAAGTCCAGCCGCAACTGAGATCGGAGTTCCTTTGCTATGCAACGCAGGCGATGTTGTAGTGCTGTCATCATCAGTTTGGCATAGAAGGTATGAATAGTATTGATGTCATACTGCAAGAGAGAGAAAACAGTTGCTATTGGTATTTCACCACTCACGATATCAATTGAGGTTCTAAAAGATGGCGTGCAAGTTGTATACTAGAATACAGAAACAATTGTTTGACGTTTTGCCGTGTATGTGAATAACCTGCGGTGTGCGCGGGACCAACCTGATTCGTACACGTGCCCTGCGGCACTTTCATCGCCAACCACCTATGATTTATTCAAAGTACTCACTATTTGGTCTATAATGTACTGACAAATAGGTAATATCTCTATGATTCACAGTGGACCAAACTTATCTGGATCACCTCGGCGGGCATATATGCCACAGTATATGCTATGCACTACAGAGCCAATAACAACTCGAGTGGCTCTGAATCTACAAATCTCCCCGTTTGTCGCAGACTGTGATTCGTTGAAAACCCTAATATGACCAAGTGGCTGTCAGCTGTCTGAGTAACTGAAAATGTCGACTACTATTTATTGAATTCTCTCACAGAGAACATTTCTTCGACTGCAAACATTCATAGCTTTCTTTTTTAGTTTTTTTATAACTAAAACAAAAATAATATAAAATAAATAAACAAGCAAACAAAAAAATTGTTTTAAAATAAATATGTCCAATTGTACACACTGTATGTATGTATATTTTTAAAATGCAAGTATATACATACTATGTATATATAAATATATATACATACTAAAAAACAGATATTTTTTTAAATCTTTTTCCTGTATTGTTTCTTTTTTAAAAACAAAAAAAAACAAAACCCTTCTTGAAAAACAAAGCACATTTGCATAGCCTTCTAAAATTTATATAAATATGTACAACATTTGTTTTGTACTTTTGTTTTTGTTTTTGTTTTAAAATAGTTCAATGGTGTTTGTGGGCTGGTAGTTTGTACATTCTTTAAAAAAAAGTACTTGGAAATATTTACTCACACTTTCACACTCTTAAGAGTCCACACGTTCACACTCTTAGAATCGCAGACTCGCAGGCCACAGAAAGTCAGATATTGCGTGTTTTAGCTGATTTAAATTTATTCATAAACGTAATTTTTTAATGTGGGGGGGATTATCTTTAAAAATTAGGTTCACGGTAAGCTTATTCTTGATTTCTTTCGTCTTCGAACACGTGAAAGAATGGGTTTTTGGAAACAAACACCCCGAAAATTACATAAATTAAAAAATTGCTAAGCATTTTTTAACTGAAATAAGTAATATCATTCAATCAAATCTCACTCTACATTTTAAACCTTCAGAAAGGGTTCTTGATAAATCGTCCGTATGAATACGAATAACGAATGTGCAAATTTAAAATAAAGCCATAGGCAGGCTCTTCCGTTTTGCCTTCCCAGGACCCAGATCTTCTTTAATTATTAACATTTTTTCAAAACGTTTCAAAGGTTTGCACTTTGCCTCAAGTCCTCAACTGCCTGCGCCTTGCAGCCTGCAAGCCCAAGTTTCCTCCACTCTCAAGAACAAGATCCATGACCCTCTCCTACTAGTTATTTTTAAAATACATAGAGAGAGAGTGAGAGAGAAGAACAATATTATGAGCATTTGTTTATAAATATGTGTTCTATGTATGTATTTGTTTTTGTTCCGTTTTTTTAATAATAATAATAAAACAACACATGTACACATTATGTATTATAAATATTTGTTTCCCTAAATTTTATAGATAAAAAAATGAAACAAAAATCTTTTGTTTTCAAATAGTTAAAAAGAAACACAAAATATATATATTTAATACATATTTTTAAAACTGCACGTCTCACGGACTCACGACCATTGTTTAAAAAAGTTATTTACGGTCACAGATTGCTTTCTTTCAGACTCTTATATTTAAAAATAACCCCCAAATCGGTCGTAAAATCATTCGAATTTTTATTTATTTTAAAACAATAGTTTGGTGAACCACTATCTGGTTGGTTTTCCTGCTCCAACAAGATCACTTTTGGAAATCAACAAATAAAAAGCAAGCCAAAAAGTCGTCTGGGGCAAGAAAGGTCTGAACTTTGAGAGAGTCCTTTGAGACTGAAAGTCGGAAAAAAAAACTAGGTCTTGATTCTCAAAACCTCGAATCCTCGATGCGGATAAACACAACTTTTGATTTTGTCTTCTTGCGTACAAAATTTTAAAATAACAAAGAAATGACGGAAAAGAAATTACAGTTATTTTAAAACTCTACGATTGTATGATTTTTTTTTTTTACAAAACACCTACCTTAACCTTCTATTGGTAGGCAAAATATAGCCTTTTTTAAAAACAATTACATCTAAACTCTGTACAATATTTTAGAAGGCGTAAATATGTAGTGCGGTACTTTTTCATTTTTAACTTTTTAAAAGTCTGCCCACTTCTCCTTCAGAGAGGTGATTGATGTTCATCATCGTGAAAATATAATTTCTTCTTTTTTAATTTGTTTTTTTTTAAACAATAAATTGTAATTTCGAACCCCTGTTCAAGCCCGTCCCCTGGCCTCTGGACCTGGACTGGAGTCCTGGACACTGGTTTTTATTTTAGTGGCTGGTCCTCTGCTCAGTGCTCACTGCAGTCGATTCACTGATTTCCGATGAAATTCCGATGTTTTTTTTTCTGTCTTTCGCTCTCTCACTCTCTGTTTCTCTTCTCTTCTCTCTCTCTCAGACTCTCTTTCTCTTTTGTTGTTGTGTTGTGAGTTGTGTCTTGTGACTTGATCTAGTGTTTGTGTGTTGTCAGTTGCCAGTTGCCAGTGCCGCAGCCCAGGCAGCCCACCGCCCACCAGCAGGCAGCCCCAAGGCCCTCTAAATACTCTAAATAGTAGCTAAGAGGGCCCCAGAGAGGGCACCGACAGTGAGTGGTAAAATAAACAGTGTTGTTTTTGTTTTATTTATGTAGTAGGGCGTAGGCTATGTGTGATTTGTTTTTGTTTTGTTAAAAAAAACCCCCGAAATACTTGGAGTTTGGAGACTGGAGACTGGAGACTGGAGACTGGAGACTGGAGACTGGAGACTGGAGACTGGAGACTGGAGACTGGAGACTGGAGACTGGAGACTGGAGACTGGAGACTGGAGACTGGAAGTTGGAGACTGAGGAGGTGGGGACG